CCAAACTATTTTATCTAAAATAGTATGCTAAGATTCATTGCCCCCTACAGTATGGTCTCAAGGTGCATCCATTTACCTAGAAATGTCTCAAGTTTATCCTTCTTATGGCTGAGTAGTACTTCATTGTATTAAAAAAAACACATCTTCTTTATCTATTCCTCAGTTGTTGGGCATTTAAGTTGTTTCCAAGGTTTAGCTACTACAAACTCTGCTTCTATAAACATGGGTACACATATATCTCTATGGTATGATGTTTTAAATCATGCTGGAAAACTATCCAGAAAGGGAATAGCTGGGCTGAATGGAACTTCTAATCCTAGCTTTTTATTTAATTTTTTTATTTTGAAGGGAATAATAAAACAATAACAAAATAACAACAACATAAACAAAACAAAACAAAGCAAAAATAATAAAAATGATACAGGGTTTCAAAACAAAATGATAGGAATCAGCAGTGGTTGTTATATTACATATTGCTATCTTCAATGAAATTGCTCAGATTACCAGATATAAAAATGCAAGATTGATCAAACCATTAAGGAGAATTAAAAATAATAAAAAAAACATTAAAAATGATAGAGATCTTCAGTAAACAAGATGGTAGGTATTCACCAATGGTTGCTATACTGCATATTATTATTGCCTTCAAACTAGTTGTTTAGATTACTAGATATAAGCATGCAAAATTGGTTAAAAAATTTAAGCAATAACTGTTCCTTTCAAATAGCTTTTTGAGGAATTTCCACAATGGTTGCACCAGTCTACACTCCCACCAGCAGTGGACAAGGGTTCTTTTTTTCCCTACAGTCCCTCTAGCTTTTGTTGTTGGTTGACTTTTTGATGATAGCCATTCTTTCTGGGGTGAAATGGAATCTCAGCAGTTTTAATTTGATCTCTTGAATGATCACTGATGTTTAACATTTCTTCATGTATTTATTTGCCATTTGTACTTCTTCTGAGAAGTGTGTATTCATCTCAGATGCCCATTTATGGATTGGGTCTTTGAATTTGTGGGGTCTGATGTTTTTCAATTCTTTATATGTTCTGGATATTTGTCCTTTGTGTGAAGGACAGTTGGCTAAAATTTTTCATACTGCGTGGTTGTCTTTTCACTCTTTTGTTAATTTCTTTTGCTGTGCAAAAACTTTTTAATAGGAACCTATTCTTGAGAAATAAGATTAAGGTAAATAGCTTTAAACCAAAGTCAAACTCTTCTTTTCCAAAATCTACTAAAATCTGTAAACTACTATGCATCCTTTGTAGTTAGTAAAAAGTTACCTCTGTGTAAGTCTTATCAATTTAGAAAATAGTTTAATAATATTCATGCAAACACGTGAAAAGTTCATCAGAATATAGTAATATGATTTTCTGTTAACATAAGCACAGGTTTTTGGTGTGAGATGGTGCACTTCTTTTCCTAAAGCTACATTGCTTAGTATCTGCTCAGCTGTCAGATGTATCTATTAAACATTTGAAATGTACCAGACTGAGATTTCCATATGCATTTTTTTTTTTTTTTGAGATCTCAGGAGTCTGGCTATGTAGCTGAGGCTGGCCTCAACTCACTGTGATCCTCCTGCCTCAGCCTCCAGAGTGCTGGAATTACAGGCATGTACCACCACACCTGGCTCCATATGCTTAAAAGCACACAAGATAATATTGTAGACATGTTAAACAAAAGATATGAGTGGATATATTATAATTATTTAACTTATTTTTATGTTTACCTTTTAAAATGTGGTTTTTGAGGGGCTGGGAATTTAGCTCAGCGGCAAAGCGCCTGCCTGGCAAGCGCAAGGTCGTGGGTTCGGTTCCCGGTACCGGAGAAAAACCAAAAAATAAATAAATAAATAAAAATAAAAAAATAAAATAAAATGTGGTTTTTGGAATATTGAAAACTGTGTATGTGCCTCATATTTGATTCCTATTAACAATGCTGCTTTAAATGGAGGGAGAAGAAGCATTCAACAGACTTCAATTATGAGCTCTTTTAAGGTAAAATTACAACATTACAGAAAGTTGTGGCTTTCCTCCGTAGTGGTTCTCTTTATTCTCCAATTACTCCTGCAATATGGGAAATTTTTTTCTAGGGAATAATTCTAAAAATAATTATTCTAATAGTTATTTAAGGAAAAAGGCTATAAATGTAGAAAAAAAAAATCCATGCTGTAAAGAATTGTATTTCTAGTGTAGGGAGCCAAGTCATGAAACAAATTAGCATGTGGAATGTGTATTCGTCAGAAAGTGTTAATTGCTATGGAAAAACCAGGGAGCGAATCAGGACTGAGGGCTGCGGAATGAAGCAGGGCGGAGCTGCAGGCGGAGTGACTTGCACTCAGATGGTATGGGAAGCCACACAGCAGACGCGAGGCACTCAGAGGTGGGAGGATAAGTTCTAGGCATGTCAGAAAGCAAAGGCCAAGTGTGATCAAAGGCGAAGTTGCCGCTCCCACGCATGAGTGGACGTTCGAAAACAGTGATGGAAAGATGAGGCAGGCTGGGGCAGGGGAGGGGAGACAGAGGTCAGGGACAAGGGGAGAGAGGGAAGCGGTGATGTCACCATGGTGTGATGTCTGGTGTTTCCAGGCTCTGTCCCATCCAAAGAACTGGCCAGAACAACAGATGAAGAGGCAAGCTCAACTTCTATTTAAAGTAAAGGAAAAACAGGGGCTGGGGATTTAGCTCAGCGGCAAAGAGCCTGCCTGGCAAGCACAAGGTCGTGAGTTCAGTTCCCAGTACTGGAGGAAAAAAACAAACAAAAAACAAAATAAAGTAAAGGAAAAACAAAGAGGAAGAAAAAAGAAAAGAGTAAAGAAAAGAGGAGAAGAGAAAGGAAGAGAGGACAGGAGGGGGAGGGGAGGGAAGAAGGAGTAGGGGAGCAAAGGGGGAGGGGAAGGGAGAGGGGAAGGGGGAGGGGTCGCGGCTGAGTGCTGCAGGGCCACGTGTGCACGCATGCGTGGTGGTGGTGGCGGGCCGCGGTTCTCCTTCCCTTCTCCGGTCGCAGGGTCGGTGTGGGCGCGAAGCCGTGCTCGCGCGTGCTCCAGGAGCACTCCGAAGCCGCGGAGAGGAGCGGGCTGGAGTCGCCTGTGTGCCGTTTACCGCTCTTCCTCCTCCGGGGCGCTCCGGGATTTTCCGCGCCGCAGTGTGCGGGCGCGCGTGCAGTCCTGCGTCTGCGTCTGACTGTAACAACCTGGGAGCACCTGGGAGAGTCGCTCGTTGTTAGCGCTGACGCTTTTGTTTTCATCACTGCCTAACTGGGGGAGTAGAAAAAGTACGTTAAAATACTCTGGGTTTTAGGTTTTACTCAAGCTTCTTGAGGGGAAAATTTTTTTATGTCTCCCCTTTTCGTATGTTTGCATACATAGTAAATACATTCACGTGGGAGAATTGGTACCTATCCGTATCACGTCTCTATCCTTCCCCTTTGTGGGGAAAATGTTATTTTATTTATTTATTATTTATTTATTGTCTTTTTGAGACAGGGTCTCGCTATGCAGTTCAGGCCGGCCTTGAGCTCACTTTGAGCCCGGGCAGGTTTCGAACTCGCAACGATCCTCCTGCCTCAGCCTCCTGAGTGCTGGGATAACAGGCGTGGACCACCACACCTGGCACAAGGGGAAAATTTTAAAACACTTCTTTAGCAGCTTTATAGCACTAAAAAGTTAATCTACTCTGGGTTCCCTAGGACCGTTGACTTCCTTATGTGACCAGATAGGGGGCTTCCTTGGGCGGCAGATCCTATGTTGGCCTTTTCTTTACACGGGAATAGCTTCATAGTTTAATTCTGACAATGCTTTATACAAGGTACTTTCTACCTTCATAGTCTTACTGAGAAAGATCGACAGGTCTAGGCGTCTTCCATTGCACGAAACGAAGATTTCCTTTCTCTAAGGACGTGGAAGGCACCACAGAGCCCGTGGCAGACTCAGATTCGAAAACTGCTTGATGTTGACAAAGAAGAGACAGCCTTTTAGAACTGTATTACGTTTACCCACCGGCCCTCCCCCGACGATTACTTTTCTTTGAATAGGGGAAGAGAAAGAAATGGACATCCTGAGTATCTGTCTTGTATCAGGTGTTACTGATCTGTACAACCCCACTTCATAACCAAGGAAGCCGCGAGGGGTTTTGCTACCTCAGCCAACTGCCGCCACAGCCACGCTCTTTAACAGACCTGCTATCTCTCTCTACTGTGAACAACAAGTCTAATTAATTTAAAATGCACGTTATTTAAAAATTTGAATTATTATAGAGAAACTTCGATATTATATACAAAGTACAAGTACTCTGAAAACTGTGTAACTCTTGCTGTTCTTTTTCTTTCTTCTTGCGAAATACAATCCTTCTTCGGTCCAATTGAGGATTAAAGAATTGAACATTTTGAACTCCCTTCATACATCAGCCAGCTGGCGTGTTTTCCTAGCAAAACATGTTCTGATTTGACCACAGGCTCTCAATCAGTCGTTACTGGTTTGAATAATAGAAAATGCTGTCATAGTGGGCACCTGATCATGAAAACTGATATCAGGAGTGCATTTGTAGTTGGATTTAAAATGTTTTTACAATCGCAGTATAAACACTGTTAATCTAGTCAAAACCTTTTCTCACAAGATCAAGGGCTTGCATAGTTTTACTTTAACTAGTTATAGTCCACAGAGTGAGAATAAATTGTGTATTTACAGAGTGAGAATAAATTGTGTATTTACAATAGGCAGAATCTTTATTTTAAATGGGAAGGATGTCATTACAAACAGTGTTAGGAATTTTTGAGATAAAACAATGTAGTTTTGAGACTGAACAACTGGATTTATTTAATACCACTTGGACGTTTTCTGGAGTGTAACCTTTGTGGGATTGGGAAGGAAAACATCCAGTTTTTGATGCAGTGCTGGGAAATTGCAAATTTGCCTTGATGTTTGAGTTACAGATTCAAAGTTTGACAGTTACTGATTCTTTTGGTTGTTCATTGAACTAGTTTTCTAGACTATAGTTAATTTTCGTATTCATGATATAGCAAGTTCCTATCGTACAGACAGGATAATTTTCTTAGTTGTCTCCATATGGATGAGTGAAGAGCCCCATTATTTGAAGACAATCTGGACACTTGTCATGAATTTGAATAGTAAGTAGCAAATGTGGCAGACTATCGTAAAAGATATGTCCATCTAAAGGGTTAGATACATGGAAAATCGCATGTACTTTGGGTTTGTTGATTTCTATATTATTCTTCACTAGGTGAAGATGGTTCCAGTTTGTTCCAGTGAAGTACAGTTCTACTTTATCACCCACCCATCCTTAAGTGCAACTGATAGAAAGGTCTTGGTGCCAGCAGAAACTAATATGTTGAACATAACTAAAAGGCAGCAAAGTACATTTCATAAAACCACATGTGGACACTTCAGCATGCTTCTCCTCATGCTCCGTTGGGAAGGATTAGTTGGAATTTTTTACTGAATTAAGGCTGGCAGTTTTTGAAAGTCTGATGATTAGTGTCTAGGGTATGAACTTGGGGGGAAAACGCAATAGTAAAAAGCAAACAGGTAAACAAACCTTAACTGTGTTCTCTGAATGTGTCCTGCAGGAATTAAAGAAGAAACTTAAAGTTTTATGGTTCAATAAAATGTTGACCACAAATCTGCTGATAACGCTGCTGGGTCTCTCAGTAACTGGTATCACTGTAGCCACTTTGCAGCCTATTTTATTTCTTCTGGGGAAAAAAAAGAGTCAAAAGACACAGGAAAGGGATAAGTCTGTCTGATTAGTAATATCCTAAGAACTTCCATAAAGGAATCTGACTTGCTTTTTAACACTTAATTGGTTCATTTAGTATGTGTATGGGCAGGGACTGATAGTTGGCTTTGGCTATACCAACAAGGAAGCATAACTTAAAAAAATTAATCTCTATGACCATATTATAAGACCAACATTCGGAGTATTTTGTTATGTGGGAATTTCCTACGATAAGAACAATTTTAAATACTGTAAGAGATGAAAGCTGCATTAGCTAAAAGGAAGTACTGTTAAGTCTTAAGTTTCTCAGTACCCCACTTAAATATTGTTTCCCAGTCAGTCATATTTAAATGCACCCCACTGCCCACCCATCCCTCTTCTCTAGGTAGAAGAAACTTAGTGCAGTTCAGGAAGTAAGACAAGACTACAAGAAAGTGACTATTTGCCAATTTTGTTGTGTAAATTTTCCGTAATTGTTTATATTTTATAAAACCGTTGATTTCTTAGACTGTGCTATAACAGGCTTATCTTTGTATCCCCAGCTCAGTGCTAGGTAGTGAGTATTCTGGCACCTCATTTCACCCTTTCATTTTTGCTTGCTTTGGCATTATCCCTTTCAGCGCTGCGGAGAATTCGCAGTCCCCCTCAGTGACGTCCTGATGACGTGGAAATACTTACTGCATGAAAAACTGGACTTACCTGTTGAAAATATGCACGTGGTTGACCGTTATGAGGACGTTAAGAAGACTTACGAAGATTTCTTGAGAAACAGTAATATGCTAGATCTGATTGATGTTTATAACAAATGTAGGATTTTGACTTCTAATTCTGAAAATAAAGATACAATAGCCCCTGTAAGTATTTTCCAAAGTAATTCTATTTTAATCAAATGAAAGTTCAACTAGATTTACTTTGATTTTAAACTGTAGTATTACCAGTTTAGTAATCTGACGAATGTTATAGAGGGATAATAGAGATTATAAACTTTATTCTGCATAGTAATACACAGGGATAAAAACAACAGCTCTAATAATTTGATAATATTTTTGCTTGTAGGATTGTGTTAAGAATGGAAAATTTAGTTATCTGACAACTAGTTATTACTTGAAAGAAATATTTTAGTGAGAAGTTTTGTGGGGCTTGTGTCACTGTCACTGTATTTGGATGATGTAAGGATAGTTTCTGTCCTTATTTAAGTGCAATTTATTATTTAGTTAATTTTAAGGATAGTTTATATGCAAATTTATGTAAAAACAAATTAAGTAGCATGTCCCAAAAGAATAGAACTTAAGAATCTCATCTCCAATGAATATAATCATTTTATCAGTCACGTGAAAGGCGAATTTATGAGACTATGGCAAGAGTGTCATGCTAACATCTCTTACAAAGAACTCCACATATACTTAGGGACTGCTGGCGAATGTCAGTACTCTGGGCCTGGAGCATTTTATCGCTGATGGAACTTTGTTTGGTCACACCCTATATGTCCTACAGATTCACCTGCGGGACTTTCTGTCGGGCAAACAGTGTGAAGGAGAGGATGAAGCCACTCTTCCTCCACCGACATCACCCCAGAAGTACAACCAGGGGGATGCAAAGGTACTGGTGGCTTGTGAATGGATTAAAGCAGGGTGTGATCCCCTTCAAATCACCAGGAATCTGGTAGTTTATTAGTTTATTAGAATTATTAAAGTTTTGTTCTTTTTATATTTAAAAATTTTAAAAATAAAACTACTTGCAAAGATGAATACTTTGGACTGGGAAGAGTGTGATAATAATAACAGGGTATTCATGATTTTTTTTTTTTTTTTTTTTTTTGGTCTTTTTGAGACAGTTTTGCTGTGTAGTCCAGACTGGCCTTGAAATCATTTTGTAGCCCAGTCTGGCCCAGAACTCGCATTGATCCCCCTGCCTGAGCCTCCCAAGTGCTACAATTATAGGCGTATGCCACCACGCCTGGCAGTATTCATGAATTTTGAGCCAGGGTAACTGGCATGAGCAAAAGTAGGCATTGTTCAGAACACCAGAGAAGTAGTTGAAAGTCCAAGTTCTCAAAAGTCTTTGCATCTTTCTTTTAGTAAACTTGAGGCTTATTGTTTTGGATGATTGAGCCTTAGAGGACGGTCTTCATTTAAACAGTTAGGTCAGGGGATTTAGCTCAGTGACACAGCGCCTGCCTGGCAAGCGCAAGGTCGTGAGTTTGATTCCCGGTACTGGAAAACAAATAAACAGTTAGGTCTATACCCTTCGAAGTAGCACAGTGGATGTACCAAGAGTGATGTTAGCAGGCTTCATCGTGCAAGCAAACCACGGGAAATTAGTGTCACTGTCAGGTTGGATTTAGTATAATTTACTTTCAGCTTACTACTGTGCTGGGCACCTAATTACATATTGTAAACCTCACTAACCATGGAAATTATGCTTATGAAAGTTTTGTGATTAAACCACCATTGATAAAGAGGTGAGTTTAAGAGTATTAGACAAGAACAGTAAAATTATATTCAAGATTTTTAAAAATATCACAGCAGTGATAGAACTTACCCTTAATAACACCAGCTGCTCCATTAATTGGACACATTGCCAAGTTACCTTTTTCATTTTTCGGCGAACTTTGCTGAGATAGTCTTCTGTAAATCCTGTATTATTTTGATTGCACTTTGAAAAGCAACTTTTATCAATGGCTTTACATACATCTTCATGTTCCTGCTTCCTGGATTTAATAATGTGCTTTTTGTCTGTATCTCATTTTTCTTTGTGTTCTGTTTTGTTTTTGTTTTTCGTTTTTCTTCCGGTACCGGGAATCAAACTCATGACCTTGTGCTTGCCAGGTAGGCGCTTTGCTGCTGAGCTAAATCCCCAGCCCACCTCTTTGTGTTCTTTGAAAGTAAATTGCCAACATGATGCGGCACCTTGTCCCTAATTCTTCAGCTTACATGTTTTTGTAACATATGAAAATAAATAGCCATATAACATCGTTATTCACATATGAAAAACTTACGCAGATATTCACCAATACAGCTTACTACCTTCTCCATTCAAATTTTACATTTGGCTTTCATGTCTCTTTAGATTCTGTTAATCTGTACAAATTCCTCTTTTTTCTTTCTGTCTGTCTGCTGAATAGGCCACGTTTTTTCGTTTTGCTTTTGTCCTTGTGGTTTTGTGGTGCTGGGGATTGTACCTGGAGCCTCTGCACGGAGCAGCATCTGCAGCCCTGTTCCGTGTTTGATTTGGAGACAGATCTTGCTGAGTTGTCAGGCTGCCTGTGCGGGGCTCTAACTTGTGTTCCTCCTGCCTGTTCCTCCAGAGTGCTGGATCCCAGGTGTGCGCCACCGTGCTGGTTCTCTGGTATTACTGAACTTGTATCACTAGTTGCTGTATTTCTAATAAGCTGAAAGTTAAAAGTTTGGATTGAGGCTTAACAATTTTTAAGAAGTACTTTATAACTGATGTTGATCATTTCATTTGGTATCGCAGGAGGAGGCACAAACTTAGGTTGTCCTGAATTGTCAGCTCTCTCCGTTGTGTAGCAGTGGCTTGCCCTCTGCTCTCTGCGCAGATCTGTGTGGTGATACTTCGGTAGTCTGTAGTAATCCTCTTCCCTAATGACCTTGCGCTTCATGGTTCTGTGTGTGCCTCGATGATCCCTGCCTGCATCCGTTATTTCTTTAGCATTGGTGGAGTGACCAGTTTCTAATTCTGTCACCGCTACATTAATTACTTACTATGTCTCAGTAAAGGAAAGCTTTATTCTGTCAAATGGGGTAAAGACCAGTTCTCTAAAAATGTCACGGTTGCTGCCTAATTCTCCTTACTAATTTAGGAGTCGGTATAATAGATACATGCAAGAGGCAAATTATGTTTTTGTTTAGCTTTCTCCTTTGTGTGTGTGTGAGTTACTAAGGACTCATGAATTTTTATTCATTCATTGTTTTGAAATTGGTTGCTCTCTTTAACCTTTGATTGTAAGGTAGAGGGAGCACTGTAAGGAACTTGCTGTCTTTTTTAATGTTTCCTGTTTAAAATTGATTTTGTTGGTACACTTTTGGTATATATCACGATGACATTCATCGTAGGGATTTTATACCTGTACATGATATCTCTCAATTCTTCTTTTTTTCCCAATTCCACTCCCCTCCCCTACTAGACTTCTTGAGCATTTTCTTTTCTCCTTTCTGGTACAAGAAAATATCCCAAGTCCATCTGGAATGTTTCCTGCCCAGACCTTCTTATAATAAGAAGCCTTCTTATGTTTCCTATAGTTAATTTAATGCACTCTCTGTTCACTATATTTCTGCTATTCAAAAATAAGGACTTCCTGGACTAGGATGTATATACCTGACCCTAACTGGATAGAAAAGCTTGAGTGTCCTTATCTCTAGCTTGCTCTTCAGGGCCAGCAGATACTATCCTGATCTGTGGTGCCGGGCAGACATCAGGGGAAGCATCGTGGATGGGGTGTTCCTTCCATAGATGGGGTGTTCCCTTCATTCATGGCTGCCATTGGGCATCTGCCCCGTCCTTATGGTCAGATAACATGGCACTTCCGGTTTCACCACTCATGTGTGTTCAAGTGAGTTCTTATTTATGTTTTGTTTTTCTTCTAGTACCAGGAATCAAACTCATGACCTTGCGCTTGCCAGGCAGGCGCTTTGCCACTGAGCTAAATTCCCAGCCCTCAAGTGGGTTCTAAAGAGCCTGTCTGGGGATGCAGCCCACATACATGCAGTCGTGTCTGGAAGTGAGGGCCTGGGTTGAAAGAAAATCCACCAGATTGAAGCATAACTACGATAGCAAAAAGAAGGGCACTGTCCCATTTATTTGTTTAGTGAACTGATTCTGTCCATACCACAAAGTATCCTCGGTGTTCATTTAGAAACTGGACAGTTTTATTTAAGCTGTCTGACAGTTCCAAGTTTCTTTTTCTACCCATGATTCTTACTGAGACATAAATATTTAATCTCAGTTTGAAGTAAGTCAGTTTTCTAAACTGAAAAAGCTTATAATTTATACAGGTATTTTTTACTTAACATATAATGACCTCTAAAAATTGGACTATCTTCCTCTTCTTACTCTCCAGTTGAAAGGGTTGGAACAGGAAGAGAATTCCATACAAGGTATTTAACATTTTGATGAAATCAATTTTATTGATTTTTTTTTTCTTTCCTGGTGTCTTGGTTATTTTTCTCTCGTTGCTGGGACAAAATACCTGATGCCCAAAATTAAGGAAGGAAAGGTTTATTTCGCTTACAGTTTGTGGAGGTTTTAGTCCATACTTGGCAGGTTACAAGGCAGAGTGGCACATGGCAGAGGGCTACAGCTCATGGGAAAACAGCAAAAGCAACAAACACAAGCCAGGAATGGCCTCAAGCACCCTCTTGCTCTCCCTTACATATGCAAACTGTCCACCCCAGGGCGGGTGCAGCTCTCACACCCATAATCAGTCAAACTCTAAAAGCCTGCCCTATGATTGCATGAGGCTTTGGGGGGACACACAGACACAAACCATAACGCCTGGACTTTGCTTTTTATGTCATGTGTAGGAACTTTTTGCCAGATTTTGAATATTTTCTCCTACATTTTGTTCGAAGTGTTTTATAGCCTCATATGGTATGGGTGTATTGGAGTGATCTTCATTATATTTTTCCTGCAGGAGTAGCTTTTTGGATCTACAGATTAATGTTTTCCAATTTGGGATGTTTTGAGACATAATTTCATCTCACTTTTTTCTAGTCCTCTCATACCTCTTCAGGGATTCCAATTATGTGTACATTGGACTTGTTCCAATTGTCTCCTAGACCTCTTTGTTTTTTTAAAAATCATTTTTGTCCTTAATTTTTCAGATTTGGTGATCTCTATTGATATATCTTGTTCACTGATGCCTTCTTTCATTCTCGCCCAATTGCTGTGGAGTCTATACAACAAAATTTTACTTACTGGACTTTTTAGCTCTAACATTTACTTTTTATATAGCGTCTGCTTTTCTGTTGACATATCTTCTATTACTTTATTTATTTTTTTGAGACAGGGTCTCCCTATGTAGTTCAGGCTGCCCTTGAGCTCTGTGCAGCACAGGCTGGTCTCGAGCTCTGTGGGCTTCTGCCTCGGCCTCCTAAGTCCTGGGATCACAGGTGTGTGCTCCTACACCTAGCTTCTGTTATTTTATTGATAGCATATATTCCTTTAATTCATTGGACATTTTCTTATAATTCTTTGACCCAATTTATAGTAGTTGTCTTCATGTGATATGTCCTAAACCTTGTGTCTAGGTCTTTGTACTGGCAGTTTCTGGTGAATGTTTTTCATTCTGAATTGGGTTATATGTTCCTTTTTCTTTAAGTGTCTGATGGGTTTCGGATGAAACATTACAGACAGTATGTTATAGTGGCTCTGAATTCTGTTATATTCTTCCGAGGAATATCATCTTTTGTTCCAGCAGACGATTTGCTTGCCTGGATGCTACCGTCTCATCTCCCTGTTGGTGTGGAGCTGCTGGTATCGATTCTTGGGGCTCCCTCTGTTGCTTTTTTAACTTGGCTTTTGTAGGCCACCCTTTAGTCTACCAAATTTGGTGGTCAGCCAAGGGTGGTGTTTATTCTGTCAGGGGCTTCCTTCCTTCCTAGGAATTTTGTTTCTACCAGGTACAGACTCTGACTCTAACACTTCAAGCCTGTTCAGCTTCAGGTTTTGCTGCTTCAGCTCTGCACAGTTCTGTAACACACTGGGTCAAGCAAACCTTCAGGCTCACATCTCTGGCTCTTTGTAGCTCAGCCTTCATAGAATAGATTTCTTTCTGATTTGTGCCTACATTTTGATGGACCCCCTAGGATCTCTCCCATGCTTGTACAGGTTGGCTGCCAGCTGTTTGAGCTGTTTGTGTTCTAAATTGTCACCCAGATTTCCCCCTGTGTGTTTCTCCCTACTTTCCCAGCCCTGAACCCTGATCTCCGGCCCCTCCCCCTGTTTTCTGTAACCATAGCATGGATTTGAGCAGACTCTTGGGCCAGTAAACCACAAACTTAATTCATACCCTTCTTGTTGCAGTTGTTTTCAAATTAGAATTTCCTCCAGCTTTGTCTGCCTTTTGAACACTTTCCAGTGTCATTAAATTGTATTTTGAGATGTTTATTTACTATTTCAAAGTTGTTATCTGTAGGATTCACATGATTACTTACTTCCCAATTACTGGAAGTTGCAGGACCTCAGTCATAAACTTGCAATTTTTAGCTGTCTTGTTTGGTCTTTTTTAACAATAAATTCCTCATTTTGTGTTGCTTTTTGGGTGTTTTCCAATGTTTTTATATGGTTACATTTAAAAAATTTTCCCTCATAATTTGTAGTTGTTATCTGTAGGGTTCATATAATTGCTTTCCCTTAATACTGGAAGTTGCTATAAATAGCTAATTTTAAGAAAAAGGTTATTAAATGTCTTGGTTTATCATTTGAGTCTGAAGAATAAGAACAATATATATGAAAGACCTAAGTTCTCCCCAGTCTGTTGTGTGAGAGTGGCCCATAGCTCTGTGTGAGGTCACTTAATGTCATCAGAAATACATGCTATTGTTTGCTCAGCATTTGGTTCAGTCTCTTCATTTTAATCTTTGGGGGATTATCTGATATTATCAAAGTCAGAATGTAGTAGTTCTACGGAGTTTGAACACTTACCGTTAACCCTTGTCCCTGGCATTGAAAGCGGTGTAGATTTAGGGGTTGAGCCAGTTGGCTCACACTCTAGCTGTTGGGAGCTTTAATTATTGTATGTTATTTAGTGGCAGATGTATTCAGGGAAATGAAACGAGACCACGTCAAAATGCAGATTTAAATAGTATTGTTCAGGGGGCTGGGAATTTAGCTCAGCAGCAAAGCGCCTGCCTGGCAAGTGCAAGGTCATGAGTTCGATTCCTGGTACTGGAAAAAAAAGACTAAAAATAAATAAATAAATAAATAAATAGTATCATTCATATACTTTGTGAAGAACAGCTAACAGTTACGGTAGTCGTTATTTACTCATAGGTTCTTATTGGCACTAAGTGGATGAGAAGGAACGTGCTGATTATCCGATCTAAGTTTCAGCTTATATGACAATTTTCTTTTCCTAAAGAGCTGTAAAGTATTATGACTGAATGATCAGACATATTTTTACTGCATATAAAAATGATTTTGGATTTAGAACAATTCCAATAAAGTAACTAAGTACTCTATTGTACAGGTGAAGCTACTAGCAAAGACAATTTTCTTTTCATATTTAAACCTGCTAGTGAATTCCAAGAATGACCTGGCTCTGGCTCATGTTCTCAATATTCCTGACAGAGGACTTGGAAGAGAAGCCTTCACCGATTTGAAACATGCTGCTCGAGAGAAACAGATGTCTATCTTTTTGGTATGGATGTGTATTTTTATTTATTTATTTATTTGGATGTGTTATATTTTTAAGATAAGAAGTCCTTGAGCAGCAGGTCTACATATCTTAAAAAAGAGCGCCTCTAACTTTGATGAAACATTTAAGTGGTTAATCTATGTCTCATCTGTGTATTTGGAAAACCACATTATTATTTTATTTCTTTTACTGTATTCTTCAAACACACAAGGGAGGACTTCTCAAAAGCAGTATTCCCCCCATATGTCCTATAGAGTATAACCTTGGTAAATTCTTCTTGCCTTAGACCCAATGTTTCCAAAGGCAAAAGTCTTGATTAATGCTCCTTGAATAAATATTTCCAAAGGCAAGAAGTCTAGCAACAGTATGTATCTCTGTTGCTTATCCTTAATGTGTGCTTGCTATCAGGAGCTCTGAGAAGCCTGCTGTAAAGAAGTCTGCTTGCTCAGGAACAAGGCCAGGAGCTCCACTCAAAAGGGTATAAATAGGAAAGGAAGAAGTCAAATTGTCCTTGTTTGTGTGAATGTATTATCCTATACTTAGAAGACCCCAAAGGTTCTACCAAAAGACTTTTAGAGCTGATAAATGAATTCAGCAGAATAGAAAGATATAAAAGTGAAAAATCAATAGTTTTAATATACACTAATAATGGACTGAAAAAGAAATCAAGAAAGCAATTCCGTTCACAGTTGATTCAAATAAAACCTTAGGGATCAGTCTAACCAAGGAGGAGAAAGATCTCCACACTGAAAATTTCAGAATACTGAAGAAGGAGTAGAAGACCCTAGACACTGGGAAGCTGTCCGTATTCACGGATTGGCAGAATTATTATTGTTAAACTGGCCATACTACCAAAAGCAATCTATAGATTCAATGCATTTTTCATCAGTGACATTCTTTGCAAAATTAAACAACACTAAAATTCCTATGGAAACACAAAGGACCCAGAGTAGCCAAAGCAATCCTAAGCAAAAAGAGCAAGGCTGGAGGCTTCACATATCCAATTTCAAATTATACTACAAAGCCATGGGGACCAAAACCACATGGTAAGGGCACAAAAATAAATACATAGACCAATGGAACAGAATAGGGGACACAGAAAATAACACAACTACAGCCATGTGATTCTGGAAAAAGAAATGAAAGACAGATGTTGGAGAAAAGACAAGCTCTTTACAAAGCTGGAGACCCAGTTTTCTCAGCATCAGAAGATTGAATTGATGTAGAAGACTGAACTAGATCCCTGTTGCTCACCTGATACAAAAGTCAATTCAAAATGGCCTAGGTATAAGACTTGAACCTTTGAAACAGCTAAAAGAAGTATAGGGGGACACTTGAAGCTGTAGGCACAGGCAAAGAGTTCCTGAATAGGAGATTCCAATAGCACAGGAAATGATAGGAGGAATCAACAAATGGGACTGCATCAAATTTAAAAGTTTCTGTGCAGCAAGGGAAGGAAGTAGCAGCATGGAGGGACAGCCTGTCTTCCAACAGAGGATTAATAGTTAAAATATATAAAGAACTAAAAAAATCAAATGGTGCAATTAATAAATGGGCAAGTGAATTGAACAGACACTTCTCAGAAGTACAAATGGCCAATAAGCATATGAAAAAAGTGTTCAACATCTTTAGCCATTAGCAAAATGAGAATCAAAACTACATTGAGATTCCATCTCACTCCAGTCAGATTTGCTCTCATCAAGATACAAAATATAATAAATACTGGTGTAGAGGCAGTGGAAAAAGGGATCTTTCTACACGCTGGTGGGATGTAAATTAGTATAACCACGATGGAAATCTGTGTGTGGATTTCTCAAAAAAACTAAGAGTAGACCTCCCATTTATCTACCTGTACAATACCCCTTGGTATACACCCAAAGGGGTTAAAGTCAGCATATCAGAGAGACACCTGAATACTCACGTTTACTGTGCACATTTCACAGTAGCCAAGATAGGGAACATCTGTGCCCATCAATGGATGAATGGAGAAAGAACATGTACACAGTGGAATATCATTCAGCCATAAACAAGAATGAAATTCTGCCATTCGTAGGAAAAGAAATGGATCTGGAAACCATTGTGTTGATTGAAGTAGGTCAGGCTCAGAAACATGAGGATTACGTGTTTTCCCTAGTCTGTGGAATCTCAGGTGACAAGAAAGTACAAGGGAGACGATTATTAGACAAGAGGAGGGGAGTAAGGAGTGGGTGGGTGTAAGGATGGGTGATGCACCCGAGCAAAATACATGCACTGAAGCCCTGGGGCGGCGGGGGTGATGGGTGAGGGAGAATGATCCAAGTGTGCTATGTGCAGGTACACATCTGCAGAGAGGGAACCCATTGATCTGTATAACCAATGAAAATGTGAAAGCATTTGAGACCTTAAAAAATAGAAACAAAGAAATCTACTTATAACTTATAAGAAGTTAACCTTGTTATTGAATGTTGTCTGCTAAGTCCTTTGACCATGAACTTTCCCCCAAATTACTGATGTTTCGTAGCTCATCTTAGGGTAACACGTTGGAAAATACTGCTTTAGGTCACTTGATCTTTGATTGAGACTGAAAAGACCTTTTAACTATACCTGATCCAGCAATCTGAGGTTGTGAAAGCTGACTCGAACTCAGTGATTATCTAGTCTAACTGCATTTTACAGTGAAAGTGAGAGTTTGGAAGTGTTGAATCCAAACCAGTTCACCTCCTTAACACTAGAGATCAGCTCACCCTGAAGACGAGCTTGTGCTGAGTAACACTTCTAGTAGTGAGCAATCTGAGCAAGAAAATATCCGTAAACAAGTTCTTTGTAGCCAGTGATCTATTCTGAGGAACATGGATATTTTCTTCAGTGCTTCGTTTCTTCCCTAACTCAGCACCTCAGTCTGTGCCTGTGGGTGGTGTTACTGTCACCCTTGCTGGTGTGAGTTCCGAGGGCTCTTGTTTCTGTGGTTCTTTGCTCCAGAGTCTAAGCTGGCCTGAGCCTAGCATTGCAGTACATGGCAGTACCTCACTTCACAGAGCACACGGTCGTCTTCCTTGCTAAACCACTGAGCGTGCTGAAATCATTTGCTTTCATTCGTAGATGGCCACGTCATTTATTAGAAGAATTGAGCTTGGAGGGAAAGGCTACGCACCCTCGCCCTCTGACCCTTTAAGGACACATGTAAAGGGATTGTCTAATTTTATTAATTTCATTGACAAACTACATGAGATTCTTGGAGAAATACCAAACCCAAGGTAACAACTTTTCATAAATTATGATGTATTACTGTTCTGTCTTTCGAATGTCACCGAATCAGAGGTAAGAATGAAAGAAACATTGTAATGACGGAGCATCCTAGGGAGAAGAAACAAAATATCTGGGTGAATGAAATTTATTTATTTATTTATTTATTTATTGGTAGATTATCATTGGTTGTTGTACTATACTTTGGTATCTTCAAAGTGGCTTCTAAAGAAAATAAATAGAGCTATACATGAGTGACCTATTGAATAATCATTAATTTTTCTCAATGATTGTTGTAGGAAACACATAATAATAAACATAACATCCACTTATGAAATAGCATAGGAACAATACAAACATTGCAGAGTTATGGACAGATTAGTAGGAAAATATCAACGGCTGCTGTAATACATGGTGGTATCTTCAAAGTGGTTTCTCAGGAATACAGAGATATGCAAGGAAGATCTAACAAGTAGTTACAGCCTAAGGGTTGTGAAAAATAGCATATTACCTTCTCACCAGTGACCCCTTTCACTGAGGTGTGACGGCTGGAAGGAAGGCCAGGACCAAAAAAAAGGAAGAGACTTGCACCTGTGTCCAGCAACAGGCTGTTTTCTTTTTCCTCTATAGTCGTATTTACCTGGGGCTCCTCCATGGAGATGACAGTTTGGCCAGGGGGAGAAGGCAGAGTATGCCCTGGGCCCCCTCATTCCTGTTGGGACTGCCTGGTAGAATGGGTCTGAGCTCTGGGGCCTCCGCTTCAGAGGGCAGACCGATAGCCAGTGGTCACCTTTGCATTCAGGGCATGGCCTAGGGGGCCTCCTAGGGCAGTTCCTCTTGAGGTGGCCTGTCTTTTAACAGTGGTAGCAGATGAATGCAGTCATTGAGTTCTTCTTGGGACCCCGAGAATCAGACTTAGGGTCTGTCTCTCTTAGTGCTGCAGCAAAAGCAGCTGCTTTTTCCTGGTCCCTTTGTTTTCTCTGCTTGGCCTCCTCGTCATGGCTATAGAATACTGAGGAGGCAATCCTTACTAACATCTCAAGTGAGCCATCTGGGGCGAAAGCCATTTTTTCTAGCTTTTTCTCTCCAGCCTCCCAGTGCATTGGGACCCCGCAACCACTTAGTGTCCTCTCCCCAACCGTCAGCACAGGCAGCAGGAATCTCGGTGCAGGCCTCTCTGAAGCTCCACACGCTCCTCCACTGCAGCCTGTACTGTCAGGGGAAGAATGGCTTCCAGGGGGTCTCCTCAGGTATTGCACAAGGTCTTCCTGGTTTCCCAGCTTCTGAACAGCTCTCGTGACCCTGGTCAACTAGACCTCTGAGTCTTTGGGCGTAGCCTGTATTCTCATGTTCTCTGAGTCCTTGTTCAGTAGCTGCTCCTCCGATGACTCTGGACCTTTCTGGCTCTCAAGGGCAGGAGCAAGAGCGGCCTGCTGTGTAGGATGTTTTCCCAGGGGTTTCTCCATGTGGAGTTGGTTCACGCACATCTCTGGGCGGGCCTTTGCGGCTGGTGTGGGGTGGGCTGATTGTGTTGGTGCTTCTCTGTGGCATGGTAGTTCTCAACCGCACAGCGTCTGGCCTGAGGGCCAGCGTATGTCTTCGCATCGCTTCCTGGGCACCTGCTGCTCGCCTTCCGGGCGCCTACGTGGCTAGGGGCTGGCCCTGGTTCAATAAAATTTAATTGCATGACTTTCCCCCTAAATGTTTGCTTCCCTCTGGTCCTAAGATGTTTGCCAAAGTCGAAAGGTGTGTCTCAACTAACCTGGTTAGCAGAGAACCTTACCACGTATCTCTATCTGGAAGAAACAGTTCTGAGGACTGGAGATTACCAACTAGATCATTCTTTTAAACTTTTTATTTTGCAATAGAGGAAACAAACCGAGAATGAGTAAGTAAACTGGAAAAGATTGAAGAAATATTTATTTTCTGCTAGTATTTTCCTATGGGTAAATCTTTGGTTCATCTGTGATTTTAATATACCTATATTGGAGATAAGAATTTTTTTCAATTTTATAGACTTTCACTTACAGGTGTGTCCTGGTTACTTGTCTCTCTTTGCTGAGACAAAGTACCTGACACCCAAAATAAAGAGGGAAAGGTTATTTAGCTCACACTTTGTGGAGGTTTCAGTCCATACTTGGCTGGTTCCAAGGCAGAGTGGCACATGGCAGAGAGCTACAGTTCATGGCAGCTGAAGATACCAAAGGCAACCAGAGCAAAAGGGAGGAGTGGCAGCTGGAAGAACAAGCCTCTTTTCCTCCCTTACATTGTATGCAAACTACCTGCCCCAGGGTGAGTGTAGCACTCATCCGTAATTCCAACATTGGACCACCACCACACCCGACATTGGGAGCTGGTTTTGAAAATTACTTATAGCCAATATCAGTGGCATCTTTTGAACTCTAGACAATATATTGGCATTTATTATTTTTTTTTTGTTTGTTTTTTTGTTTTGTTTTTTTGGGTTTTTCTCCGGTACCGGGAACCGAACTCACGGCCTTGCACTTGCCAGGCAGGTGCTTTTGCCGCTGAGCTAAGTCCCCAGCCCCTGAGCTAAGTCCCCAGCCCCTATTTTTTTATTTTTTATTTTTTTTGGTGACAGGGTCTCGCTATGTCTTCCAGGCTTGCCTTGAACTCACTCTCGAACTCGTGGTGATCTTCCTGCCTCAGCCTCCTGAGTGCTGAGATTACAGGCATGCACTGTCATGCCTGGCTATTTATTCTGACATAACAGATAATTTTAAAATATTTTTGCAGTACAATGTAGATTTACCTTAGTCTTAGATGTACCCTGGTGTTAGAGTTAAAAAGTCTTCCTTTTAGGAAGACTTAATTTTTATACAAGTGTTTGCTTTTATATTTACCTCCATTTAAATGAAGGTTTTCGCAGCTGTTTGATTTTGTAGTTTTGGACGACACCTGCTACTTCTGCCACCGAGTATGAGAATTTGCAGCCCACTCACCAAGCTCCTAGCAGGCCCTCCACTGCTTTTCACACTTTTTTCCATCCTCCTATTGTAGGAATACTGTATTTTGGGTTTTCTCGCATTTTAGAACTGAATTATTTTGACCCCCAAAATTGCCTATTGGGATGTGCTGTGCTTATACTTCCTTTCTTACACAAATTTTTATTTCCTTCTATAGTCGATAGTTATCTCTTTTTTCATTTGCTTTGCTTCATGTGTTTCTCATCATTGTTATCAAGCTTGGCAGTGAAACTATAGACTTCGGTTAATCCTGGGCCACCCCGCAGTCTGCGTCTTCGACTTCCCTTACCACGCCTCCTTCTTCCCTCCATCCCTTCACTGCCGGCCTGGCCAAGCTGCTGACTCCAGAGCTGCGCCACTGCCTGGTGAATTTTTCTTCGCTCTGCTGTGCTGCCTTGGATCTCACGGCCTATCTTTAATTGCTGATAGCTTTCTTATAAAAAGTAAATGAGAGGCAAATGTCTTTATGCTGTTCTTCCATTTGATTGTTTATAATCATTTATCTAAGATTGCTAATTATATTTAGTTACAAATGCTTTTTTCTGCTCCCTGGATGACTCTGGTCTTTATCTAGCTTGTCTGTCAGCCTGTCAGTTTTGGTTTGCTTTCTCCTGTCCGAGGTTAGCAAATGCCCAGAGATTCTAAGTTGTCCTTTCATATTTAAGAGTGAGGCCCTGTAAAGCTGATGAGCTGCTTTGTATGGTGGCCTTAATTATAGCGTGGTGTCCAGTTAGCCTCTTTGTTGGGGACTTCCTCTCCAAGTGTCACTAACTGTAGGTCTTTTCTTTGGGGCTTTCCCCGGAATTTTTGCAGAGGCGCCCTTCCATCTCTGAAAGCCAGTGGCCTCGCGGAGTGCTCTGGGGCTTCAGACCGGGCGCTCGTGGTGACGCGCATGGCTCTTGTTGTGAGTTTTATTCAGTCGTCTGCTCCGGTTCTGCTGCCCCCGGCTCTGGGCGCCCTGGCTGGGTCTCCGTGGAGGGAGAGGTGAGCCGGCCTGGCTGCTCCTGGCTGCTCGGCGGGAGGAGGCCTGTCCTCACACAGACACCCGCTGTCTCTCCTGCAGGCCGCCCCCGTGGCCGGGGCCGTCAGCGCTGTCCTCAGCTCCTGAGGCTCCTCACACGCATCCCTCCCTGTCGACAGAGCCTTGGGCCTTAGTGTTGTCTGTTCTGGGCCCGTGGTTAGGTCTCCTTCTCGCTTGCCGTGCTTGGCGGAGTGTCTGCTGTCATCCACTCTGGCTGCTTCTCTCATTCTCTTTTTCTTTATTCCTCTTTTTTTCCCTATTCCCCTCCCCTTCTACAACCTCCCTTCCCCTCCTTATTTACAAAGCTTTGTTTCCATTACATTCTTTTTTCTCATTGTTTTCTTTTCCCTTCTACCCTCCCCCAACTCCCCTTTCCCTTTGAACAGTTACTTCCTATTTCACAATATCTGTTGTACATTTTGGTTCTTATTTACGCTTTCAGTTTTTCACACCGGAGAGACTATGTGATATTTACACATGTGTGTCTGATTTATTTCACTTAAGAGTATGGTCCCACGGTGCATCCATTTGGCTAGAAATGGCTTAAGTTTATCCTTCTGTATGGTGAACAGTACTCCATTATATTAAAAAAGGGCCCAGAAATGCTGGTGGAACAGTGGGGAAAAATGACTCCCACTGTTGGTGGGAGTGTAGACTGGTGCAGCCACTGTGGAAATCAGTGCTGAGATTGCTCAAAAAAGTAGGACTACAGGTTCCATTTGACCCAGAGATTCCCCTTCTGGATATCTTCCTGAAAGAATTACAGGAATCATACCACAGTGATATATGCACACCCGTGTTTATAGCCGCACAGTTTGTAATAGCCAATCTTGGAAACAGCCCAAATGCCATCAACTGACAAATGGATAAAAAAATTAGAATCCTTTTTTGGCCATTTTGTTTTTTACATTAGGTTTGGGGCAGGAGCCAAGATAAATGCATATGTTCAACGCGATGTAATTTCTTATAGTTGTGGAAGGATTTCTGCCTGGGAGAATGATTG